TCACATAGTTCAGAACATCTTCCCCTCCACTTCTTCTCTCCAGAAAGTAATTATTTCTTTTAATTCCAGGAAAGTTGGAGTTATGTTGCAGGTTCCAAGTTCAGCTGTGGTTTTAAATAGTACTGACAATTGGAAATGTTTCCTTAATATTAGAGATCTGAGTAGTTTCTATTTTCTATTTGCAGTAGCAGTGAATTGGCACAGATTCCCTCAGTCTTTCAAAACCCAGCCTCATGCAATTAATTATCTTGTCACCTTTTTTTTTTCTTGTATATATTATGGAGAGGGAGGAGCAGGAAGTGCTATTAGCTGTTGCTAATCATCTTCCATTTTTTTCTTGGTAGTTCTTCAGAAAGGAATTATTTCAATTTTACATGTAAAATTAGATTTAATCTCTTCTTAGTGCCTTTCAGATGTAGCTGTCAAATTGATTTGGAGTGTCTTCTGAATCAAATAAATATTGTATTCCTCCTTTTGAGCAGGAAATGCTGGTGTTGGAATGGGGTGAATTACTAATTTCTAGAGATTTTGTGACAGCACAATTTGTTATTGAATAGCTTTATACTGGTAATTGCTTATTTTAATGGTTTTGGTGGGGTGCTTCTATTCTTGTGCAAGGATGAAATATACTTCTGCTTCTAAAAGGTGTTCTGATTTCTAACAATTCCCTATGAAGCATATAACTTTTTTAGCAACCTAAAAAGGCTGGTGATGAGAGTTTGAAATTTGGCTGAAAGTAGCTGATTTTTCTTCTTTACTTTCCTTCAGAATGTGGAAGATTTATTACTTTCTTTTTATTAAATTACAATAAAAAGATAGCTGTTTAGTTCTAACTAAATATTTTGGATAGAGTGGCATTACTGTAGGATGAGGAAAAATGCTTTTGGTTTTGAGATCAAAAAAGAATAGGGAATTGCCATGTCTTGTTCTTCATACTTGGAAAACATATGTGGGGTTTTCTTCCTCGTTTTCTGGGACTGAGGAGCCTGTTCTCTAAATTTGCTAATGGGATAAAATCAGCTTAGTGTGGAGCATGTCATTTGATGATAAAGTTGATTGGAGCTTTGATTGGGGCAAGCTTAGTGGCCATTTGGAATATCCTGAATTCAAATGTAGCTCACCCCACTTTGTCTTGGCTGCTTTAGAGCTTCACTTCAGTACAATACAACCCTTGTGCTGTTGCAGAGTTTTTGATCATCTCCTCCTGTATTTATCTACTATGGAAGCGCTTGATTTTTTTAGGATTTTAGCCAAACAGTTTTTAAAGAGTTGAGAAAATTGGCATATTTAACACTGTTCATTTGTTACTGTGTTACACTTGCATAACAGCTTTAATTTTCACCATTTCCTTTACTAAATTACAGTGGTCTTTGGTTTATTCCAGTGGTTCTGCTGTTGGCCCCCTAAGAGAGTTTAAGTCTCCTACCAGAGCTTTTTGTGTGCATTTGAAATGCCATGTTCTGTCAGTAACCCAAAACTCAATGTCTTATTTCAGAGTTGTGGATGGTCTTACTTTTCCTCTTCTTTTCTTGTGCCCCAAATTAAAACCAGGATAGCTGACAGGGCTAAAGATAATAAATTAAATTTGCTGTATCCTTGCTTAGCTACCTCCAAAATTTCTGGGCTGTCTGGTGAAGGAGTTGCAAGTTCTTTATTTCAGTACTAATTCTTGTGTTATCTCTTGGTGATGATGCTCATGCTCTGTTCTTCATGATCCACTAGTGCAGAAAGTGGATAAAAAGAACACTTAAAAAAGAGAAGCAGAAGAGTTACAGGGCAGGCAGAGCTTTTTTTTTTTTCCTGAGGTGTTGCCTCACATCATGAAACCAGAAAGTAAGAATCACAACTTTTAGTCTGAAATACTCCAAGTTCTTCAAACAATAGATGTCTAGTCCACAGAATGTACAAAATGTGTGTGAAGAAGTACAGGAGCAAAGAAAGTACATAAAGCAAAGAAACAGCTAAACTACAGACCTAGCACTTTGCAAAAGTGATCAGGAACATGAACCTGGTAGCAGCAGATGTTTTTTTGTGATAAATATTGATCACTTTTTAGTTGCAAGACAAATAGTTAAGAAAGTTTCCTCAAAGTAATCTTAAACGTGGGAGTTAAGCTTTGAATTCATAGCCTCAATTGTAAAAAATGGGAAAATTGGGCTTCAGGCTGTCTCCTTAAATGCACTTTCACTCTGCTGCATTGTCAGCTGAAATTTGTGCGTTGTGAGGCCAAGTTCTGTGTTCTGCACTGCACTGATCCGTGCTATTTTCTTTCACAGCTCCACACAAAAGGCTGTGGTTCTGTTTTAAATCTGTGAAAAATGAAGTCAGTTGTGACCATTCTGAGGATTTAACTGGGAGTTGTTGGCTCAGGAACTGTGGAAGTTTTGCCCTTGACTGCCCTGCTCATGGCTCAAATTGGGTTTTATGGGACAGTCTGTGCAGCTCAGTTGGATAAATTTGTGATTTTTGAAATTTGTGTTGAAAGACTCTTGGATCAATTCTGCACCCCTCAGCATGCCAATTTTAAATTGATGATTCCCTACACCTCTGCTGATCTTTTTCATGAATGAATATACAAATATCAGTAAAAGTAAGTGCAGCATGAAATAGTTTTTCTCCCTCACCCTCTTAAAAATGTTTTCAGTAACTGAACCAGATGCTGGCTGAGTTCACAGTTACCATTAGAAATGTAATAACCATTAATATTTTGATCCTCTTGTTTTCCTATTTGCCCAACTGTCTCTGAGTACTTGTCAAAAAAATACTTTGTTTCAGCTGGAAGGCTTCTTAGTGATCTTTTTATTAGCTATGTAATATGTTATGGCTACACAAAAATAAAGAGAAAAATGGGGAGGAGGTGAAAGGAATATTGAAATCACTTGGTTTTAATATTATTTTAGCTGTTCTTTCTCTGTAGCTTCATCAGCTCAGAGGATACTCTGAGACTTGACTTGTAATTATTGAAGCCTAGACATGCTGCTTAAAAAAATGCATTGTTTAGTTTGTGTGTACCTGTGCAGCATAAATAGCACTGCCAGTGCTCCTAGGGATGTGTTTTGAGACATAAATACTTTAATCTACTTTTTTTTTCCCATAATGCTGAGAGTATGAGTCTGGGTTGAAATTAAATGTCTGTCACTTTGGTAAGAAGAGAAAGGGGGAACCAGTGGCTCATTTTTCTGGTCATTTTTTGATTGTTTTGTATTCTAGACAGAAACCCCAAATATGGTGAATGAGAAAGGGAAGGCACAAAGAACAAAGCTTGATAATTTATTACAGTGAAGAATGTACTTCACTGTATTTTGAGTGGCAAGATCCTTGTGTTAAAGTTGGGGTGTCTTATTCAGATCTGGGAATTTAACTCAGTGATTCTCATGGGTCTCTTCCACCTCGTGAGACTCTGTGATTCTACATCTACCTGCCCTGTAGAGCAAGGACTTAGAATTGGTTCTCAGCTTAGGTCTCTGTTACACAAAGAGGGTATTTTTTCAAAGTTGAGAAAAGTATTTTGCTGCCTTGCATCTGACAAAGAAGTTTCCATTTGCTTTGATGCCCTGATAGATTGCCTTTAATAAATTATTTGGGCACTTTTTTGATTGTTTGGGCTTACGAATGGTATTGTGATGAATAGAATAATAATTTCCAAGCTTAAACTTTGTCTTTTTGCTGAGATGCAGAAACCATTGGATGAGTATTTTATTGTTTGAATTGTGGTGTATATAACTGGCCAAAGACTCCAGCCAGCTTCCTTCAAGCATGTGAGTAAAAGTGTGCAGAAATGATGGGAAGTGTCATCGTTGAGTTAGGAAAAACACTGCAGAACAATGTGCAATTATTTTGTGACAATTTGTATCTATCAGTGAATAGGACCATGTTCATCTGCAAGTAAAAGTAACCATCACCATTTGGAATAAATGTAGATATTGCTTTTACAGCACCAGTAAAACTTGCCTTGTTTTTTCCTTTAGGTTCCTGATTGTGACAGAACATTTGCTGAAATGTCCAGAACTGGTAAAAGCCCTCTATGCCAAACTGAGCAATCAAGAAAGGTAACCCCAAAAACCAACGTGGCTTTTTGTATTTAGCATTCCTTATAGAGTATCCTGTTCACATGATTGAAAAACCATGTGGTTTCATAGTTGGCACAAAATCTCTAAATACACGTTTCTATGTCAGTAATGGTTTTAAATTGGTCGGTTAACATTACAGCTCAGCCACAACTGGCAGTGATTTATGTAGGGTTGCAGAATCCAGGTTGGCGCCATTGCTTGGTAAAGAAATACTTCATACAAAAAAAAAAGGACAGGATTTCATGCCTGGGCCTTGATTTTATAAAAGAACCACACCCTACAGAGTTTTACAGCTCAATTGGAAACGTCCTCAGCTCTTCATACTTCTGCTGTTATGTCAAGAAATTAAGAGGAAACCTTTACAAAAGCTGGAAGTGTGTCTAATACTGGTCAGCAGAACCTACAAAACTGATGAGCAGATGCCCATGATTACTTAATCCTTAATGTTTCCAGTGTTTAACAGAAGGAGAACACTTCTTCTTTCACCTGGAAGAAACACTGATAGTTTCCTTGTAGTGTTTGAATAAATGTGTGCTGAATTGATGGGAAATGGCCACTGCTATAATGGAAAAATTCCCATTGCTTTAATAGAGAATTGAGGAAGATTTTAAAAAGATACTTTGTTAAGACAATCAAATTTTGGGAATTCTGCTAGAATTCTATGTCTCCTACAACTGCTTGAGGATTTTGTGGTCTTGTTTATGTGTTTAATGTGGCCACTTTGTTCTGCATCCACCCAGGGAAGTTGCAAGTTCCCTCTCTAGTTTTTGCAGGTGAATGACAAAACACTGCACAAAACAGTGCCTTAGTGTGATTTTAGTCTGTGTTTTGTAATTTTAGTCTGTGTTTTGTATTGTTTCCAGTGTTACCACAAGTGAGGGAACAGGCATTGATTGGAGATTATAAGAAAATTAAAGGGATGTCAGGCAAAGAAAGAATGTGCAATAGGTTTGAACTTTAGATAAAATACCATTATTGTATAGGGATGGAATGGGAATGACAAGGAGGGAAATACTGTTTTCCTCTGTAATTCAGAGTGACCAAATGGTCACAAATCTGAGCCATGTGCCTGCAGGTGGGTGCTGAGTAACTGCTTGAAGCAAATGAGCTGCACTGAATTCTTTTGGGGAATATCATGAATGGCAGTTTGCATATTTTTGTAATGCCTTTGGGGATAGCAGGGCTGGGTTAAGTTGTGTGTTTGTACTTAAAGCAGTAGATATAATCAGTTTCTAGAAAGGTCTCAGTATACTACAAATAGTGATTGGATTCCTCACATCGGTGATCACAGGTGGGATCAGAGCATGTCCACTGAATTTATTATCAATCCCAAAAGTTCTGCCAATCAAGTAAACTCCATTATGATTTTGGTACTGCTTAATTTACTGACAAACATGTGGAAGTGATGTAGAAATAGTCTATCCTGGCACTTACCTCATCCCATGAACCCTCCATGAAGTTTTCTCTCCCCTGTCCAGCTATTGGGGGCAGGGRAGGGAAGTGAGAGAGCAGCTTTGGTGGGTGCCTGGAAWYTGTTCAGGGTCAACCCACTGCAGTGGGGGAATAATTCCTGTGTTCATCAAATCTCTGACCATCCTGCATTGTTAGCTGAGCACATTCTTGAAAGACTCCAAACCTGGTGGATACTAAGTGTAGGTTTTGTATGGGATGCCAAAAGGGAAAGCCTTTGGTCAGTGCAGGGTTCTGTGGAGCTGTTGGAGATGGGCAGAGTGTGACTGATAACCCACTGTAACCTGCACAGCAAACTGAGCAGAGCCCTGAGAGGCTGCTCCATCCTTCTGCCCTCACCCAAATGTGCCCAAAGTGCTGCCGTGCTGAAAAACCTTTTTGTCCTCCTTCAGATAATAGTTTAATGCAGCTGTATTAATGACACTGAGAGCTGGGACTGAGTAGCTGTTTKGTGATTAATAGAGGTGCGTTCTTGGAGGTTAAGAAAGCAGTGACCGAGCTTTTTCCACAGAAAAAAGACATTTCTCTTCCTCTTCTGACAACCTGCTTGGTAAATTTAAAAGAAAAAAGCATTTGAACTATTCCACATGTTTAAATGTCAGTCCTTCCATCTGAATTGCAAATATTTCAGTGAAAGAAATCCCTGGGCTGGCTTTTGAATTCATTCAGTAAATAGTGTCCTTTCAGGCTGAAAGAATGACAGTGGCACTTCCCCATCCCCTGTGCACTGGGCTGGAGCAGGAGGGGCTGCTCCAATATGAAAGGATATTGGAAATAAAATTATATTAAAGCTGTTGAAAAACCCAGCCCAAGTAGTTTTTATAGAGCAGCTTCATTATTTATCCACTTACTTGTCATTATTTATCCACTTACTTACTTACTTACTTACTTATCTGACTGAGTATGAGTGACTAACTTGGATTTGCTTAGTCCATCTCGTAGCAATTATAAAATTACTGTAAAGAACAGAGTGTGCAGATGGTTTTTTATTTTCACCATTTGGGGTTGTGGGGGAGAGTTAGTAAAGGACTGTGGGTAAGGCAAGGACTGTGAAAACCTGTATTTTTCAAACAGAAGCTGTCAAATACTCTTTGTTTATTTTGCAATGCTTGACAGCAGCTTTTAAGAGCTGCTTTGCTGGAAACTTTAGGCATGGGGAATATACAATCACCGTAATGTTTTCTTAGGACATAAGAAATTAGAAGATTGAAATAGGCTTGAGAAAAATATTGACTGTCTGGCTAGACTGTATTAATTGAATGGTGAATTAAATTAATTCTGTATTAAAAAAAAAAAGCAGCAGACAGAGACTGATTGCCAGTATTCATGAGGCTTGTTAATTTTTTTAAATCTTCTCTGTTGCTAGCATGATAATTGTTTTCATCATTTTTAACCACTGTATCTTCTTATTCTGCTGATAATGCTATGTGGCTCAGTGAATTTAACAAGTTGTTTTCTGCCTCCAGAGTTACTTTGTTAGAGCTGCTGATGGTGAAAGTCAATGACAAGAACTCAGTTAGCAGTGAGGAAATGGATGTGTTTGTTCAACACGCTGAGTTCCTTGCAGGCTGTTTCCAAGAGAATTGTGGAGCTGTGCTCAAGTTAACTGCTGCAGCAGATGCAGAAAATGAGGTAAGAGTGATTAAAAACCATGTAAGTACTAGGAATTGAAGTGATAAATCCTCAATGGCACTGTTGCTCCAGGGGGCATTCATAACATAAAATACATAACAATATCTTTTCCATTTTATTTTGGGAAAGCAGTGGCAGACTGCATTGTAGAGTCTGTAGGACAGCAGCTGACTTTTTCCTTTGATGGTGGCAAAAGATACTTGAAAATAAATCTACTTCATTGTTAAATATTTCAGAACTTTAAAAATGTTTTAATTGTCACATGTTTGGATGTTTTATTATCTTACTAAGGATCGCTTTGGTAATTTATTTGAGTTGTGAATTGTAATTTATTCAAATTTAGAGGGGCGTGTAGTGACAGGACAAGGGGGAATGGCTTCACATTGACAGAGTAGATGTGGATTTTAGATTTAGGAGGAAATTCTCCCCTGTGAGGGTGGGAGGCCCTGGCACAGGGTGCCCAGAGAAGCTGTGGCTGCCCCTGGATTCAGTTCAGGATATTTTGTGATTCTGTGATGATCCCRTGATTCAAATATACATCAAAATAAAAATATTTATCCTATTTATCCTGGAAGCAGTAATATATATAGTCAGAATAATTTCATTGTTAATGCAAAATTAATGTGGAATGGTTTCACTTCTAGAAACTACAGAGAAGAAGCATCATAAATAATATATTACCAAGTAAAAAAACATTGATCTTAAATGCTTTCATATGAAAACATTATAAGGTGTTGTACTTGCTTGGGTCTTTTTTGTTTAAATAAGCCACACAAATTATAAACATATGTTGAGAGGTGTTATGAAAAAATACCATAAATCACTTTATGGTAGTTGGATGTGATAAAAAAGCCAAAACACAAACCAACAAGAACACAATCTCTTTTTGTATGTCCAAAAAACACAGCCTCCCCACTGCCCCAGCTGTTTATTCTAAGTTATGTTAGATAACTTAACTGTCTCCTTCTGGAAAAGGTTGGCAGAAAGAGGACATACATTGTGACAATTGCATCTTTTTTTTTTTTTTTTTTTTAATCATTTGGTTACTTCCCAAACCACTTTCTGTGGTTTCAGTTCATGGAAAAAACCATTTGTTTGCACCCAGCAGAAGGAGATCTCTGTCCAACCAGAAGGTGCTGGGACAGCAGTATTGTGAAAATCACTGCAAAAAMTTGTCCTGCTTGACACAGACTTGTTAATTCTTCTCTCACATAAACAAGRTGTGTGATAAGTTGAGGATCACTGGTGGGAAATTTGGCTCATGAAATGAACAGAAAAATCTAAATCCTAATAGCTGAATAAATGAAGGGCARTGTGTGTATGTGCATATTTGTATATACATTTATTCATAATGTATGCCTGCCATGGGAAAATAGAAATGCCAGCCTAAATTCATAAAACTGGGKTTTTTTCAGTTAAAGAATTGCACCAATTTCTCCTCAATTGGGTAAATATTTTAGGTTTTGTGTAGCAGTTGTACTTAACTGCATAAAAATGCAGTTGTGCATGTGGAGTCTGTCATTAATAATGCTTTTGGTATTGTCTGTGATGCTCAGCTCTGCTCTGCCATTTCTGTGGCCCTTTCCTTGCTCACCATGTCTGTACTGTTAAGCTCTCTCAGGCTCCAGAGCTCTGAGGCCACATTTGCAAACTCTTGGGATCAATYCTTGGACTGRCCTAACTCCCAGAATTGTCCTGGTKTCCCATCCACTGTTTAATTTGTTCTAYGTAGACCCTGCTTGGTTTCCTGCAGGAACATCAGGTCTTGTAGCTCCATCCTAAACCCATGAGAAGCTAATCATATGCTTTTGCAGTGCTTAAACCAATGTTTAAAATAGCTTTTCCATTCTGAGCCTGACTTCAGCATCAGTTTGCTTGCTATTTCAACCATACTTGCAAAATAAAACCCTTCCCTGGACTTAGCTCATCTCTTTATAAGGAACATCTTTTCTGTGTCTCTCTCAGTGTTTATTTAAAAAAATCTTCATTTACTTCTTTTTTTACTTTTCAGATTGAAATCTTGATATGGATATAAACTATTTTGGGTTTTGAACTTCCAAAGGAAGTATTTTTCTTTACTGCCTTTCTTTTGAACAGGTGGAGTGCAAAAAAAAAACCAATTTGGAAAGTTAACAGCAGGGAAGGAAATTTTTTTGAACTTAGCAGGTTTCCAATATACATGAAAATTTGGGAGTTGTTTTATTGTTTTTAAATAATCTGTTCSTTTTAAAAATTGTAAAAAGCTGGTTACTGTCTCTGAAATACAGTTGGGCTGTTCTTACTTTGTAGCAGGATAATGTCTGATGTATTTAGAGACTGCCTTTGTGCTGATGAAAGCTGTGTCATTATATATATAAAAATAATTCAAGGCAAAACTTGCACTTTTGTACACCTGTGTGGGTCAAAAAWAGAAAATACAGTTTTAATACCTGGACCCCATAGCAATTTGGTGTCTTCAAGCAGCAAAGAATGAATATAATTGATCTACTTAATTACTGAACACTAGTGTTGATTTCAGTTGCATTATGTTGATTATAATCAACATATAATCAACATTTTGTATCCGAAATATTATACTGTTGGTAAATAAACCTTTTTTTCTCCTGGGCCAGACAAGGCAGGAATAATTMCTGTGACCAAAGTCTGAGCCTTTTCATGGCCACTTGGAGTTCATGTACCACACCTTGAGTGGGATCATCTTGCAGTCCCAGCCTGGCTCTTGAGCAATATTTGGTGTTCCAAATTCTGCCATGTCCTCTAAAGATATTTTCTGTAAATCCTAGATTGTCATTATAAGCAGGACCAACATTTTCAGTGAGAAAAAAATAGTTCTCTGGCTGAACAAATAATATGCAAATGAAATTGTGTGTCTCATACTCAACCAAAATGCTGCATCTCTGATGGCAATGCTGTTTACCCAAGAATAATGTAAATTCTCACAGCCAAAGTTCATGTGACCACAAAACTTTACAGAATTCCTGCGGATAACAAATTGGTGTCTTGCAGGCGGTGTTTGTGTCTTTAAAGTGGGACGCTCCGACTGAATAAACTCAAAGAAAACATTTATACAGAAATAATTTTCTCAGCTAGTAATTTTCTGTATTTCTGCTTTTGGAAGCTACTGTGTTTTTGTTAAAATTTTATCCCTTATGGCTCTGTTTTGGTTTCCCCATGATTTTTTGGGCAGATATAACACTAACCATAGAAAAGAAATTATTGCAATGTAATACGCTATTGTTATTTTAGAAAGTTGCCCTAATTTTCTATAAATTTGTTCCTGGCAGTTCAGAAGACCTGCACAAAACCTGAGAGTTCCTGTCCCCTGTTTCCATCTCTGGGTTGATRTTTTTATGATATCCTTCATAAACCATTTTCAGAACTGCAATTTTCATTTCAGGAGGCGCTGGTGACAATTCGTCTTCTCGATGTTCTTTGTGAAATGACCTCAAACARCAACCAACTGGAACATCTGCAGGCATTCCCTGGTTTGCTTGAAACAGCCATAGGTGAGTGAACAGCCACAAAGKTTAATTTTTGGTACTCTGGCAATGAAAACATGTTTTTCACGGCTGGTGGTAATTATAAATCTGACCTTTGAATGAAATAAATAAATAGGAGATGGTTTTAATGTGCATTTTCAAATACTTGGTTTGTTCCTGGAAATTTTCTGGTTTTCCACTTGCTCTGGGCCTGTGTTGCCCATGATTCAAGTATCAGCAATGTTTTTTTTTTTTCACGTGGAAAGGTGATGTAAGGGACAGCTGCTTCCTGGCTGAATTTGGAGAAGGATTTCTTCAAGAAGTAGAAAAAGGACTTTCTCTCCATGCTTGTTCCCTTCTGTTTCCCTTGAAATTTCTGAAAAACTGTTTCCCTTGAAATTTCTGAAAAACTGTTTCCCTTCAAATTTCTGAAAAACTGAAATTTAAGTGCGGTTTGAATGTTATTAACCAAATCCAGTGACTTTTAAAGCTCAGGTTTAGAGAAGCTAAGAAACAGCAAGAGCTGTACAGAAAAAAAATCATGCCAAGATGTTCCATAGATGCTCAAACAGGAAGGACTAGGGGGATACAAACCATGACCTGTGCTTTTTGAAATCTTAGCACTTTGAGACTGAGGTGTGCCACCATTTTGTGAGAAAATTGTAAAAGTTTGTGTATTTTTAAGACAAATGGGTAAAAATCTAAAGCATCAAAAGGCTGAAACAGCTACAAGCGATGACTCTTTTGAGATTCGTGGAGGGTCCTCATTGTAGAAATAAGAAAATAAAAAAAAATAAATGAAAAACTTCCAGCAACAACAGATGATCTTCCAAGTCCCTTCCAACCCAAATCATTCTGTAATTCTGTGTACTTGAAATTTCTTGTAATGCTACAGCACAGGAACAGACTGGAAAAACAAAAAAGAGAAAGTGGTCCTGTTGTTTGGATGTATTGATGTGACAAATTCAGTCTGCAAGTTTTCTAAAAAACTTGSGTTTAGCAGTATATTTGTGGTGTCAGAATTCTTAACAGCCTACAAATTCTGACCCTTTAGGTGGAGATCAATACCAGGGTGTAAAAAGTACACAAAAATGCTTTCTGACATTGGGCTGATCTTTTGTGGTTGGTTATATTAGCACAAATTACACAATGGAGTAAAGTTTTAAAGTTCTTTGACATGATGCTAAATACGTGAAATTCTATGGCTTAGCTTTGAACTCAACAATKAACAGTAAAGCTCTGTGCCAAGTGAGATTAATTTTCTCATGGTAATGAATTAAAAYGTTTTTGTTTTCTCTAGATACTCTGAGGTTAACTCACCTTGCTGGAAAACAGGCTGTAAATATTTTCACTGCCACACATGCTSTGACAGGGCAGGAAGAAATTGCCCATCCAGCTGTGGGTTTTAAATCTCATCTCATTCGTTTRATTGGAAATCTGTGTTACAAGAATAAGGAAAATCAAGACAAGGTGAGTTTGTGTGTTTTTCTGGCAGAACTCTGAGGTGTAAACAGATGCCTGACAAAATATATTGTTGGTCTAAAAATAAAGGTTAGAATTGATTGTGTAAAGGAGGCAATTTTTTTTTAGTGTCTTTAAATTATTATCACAATTATGCTGACTTTTTAATAACAATGTAACATTTGCCTGGCTGCCTTCCCTTTCACCCCTGTAGAATGAATCCAGTGCCTAATTCCTTTGTGGTTTTCACTTTTCCACTTTCTTTGAGAAGTCTCAAACTAATTTGAAACTTCACTTTGAAAGGAAATGGATGTGAGTTTGTTGCATGAACTTAATTTTAAATCTTTGAATTAGTCTCTTATTCTTTTTCTCCCTTTTTCTTGTCACTTTAAAAATGCAGGTCTGCCTTTATCAAATTAMTTGGAACCCTTTATAATTCCTATATAGAAAATCAGTTTTGTTTCCACAGTGGGGAAAAAGAGGAAACAGTTGCCTGTTTTTATTTGAGGTGGTAGCAGATGAACAATTTATGCAGTATAATTTTTTTTCATATGCCTGTTTTTGTTTGAGGTGGTAGCAGTGCTTTCTCTAATGCAATAATATTAATTTTGTCAATGCAGAGATGAGAAAAGGAATTCTTCTGGGAGAAAAGGGAAAAGTCTGCTGTTAAAATTAATCATAATAAAAGTAGCAAGTAAAACATCTGGATATGGTTTAGTGTGTTTAAATTAATTTAGATTTATATATATATATGTATATCTAAGCCAAATTGTTTTATATGAGACTAGCTTCCTAATTTGAAGACTGTTCTGTCTGAAAATATGAGCAAGATTTGACTTGTTTAGAATTCAGTTTTCCATTCCTTTTTTTCATGGGGACAAGGTGTGCAATGAACCCCCTTGGTCAGCAAAAGCTGTTGACATCCATAGATCAAATTGTGRCCATCCAGCTCCTTAACTTAATCTTTTTGCTGCAGTAATTATAAAAATTGAAAAAACTCAAATTAAACATGCTTTGTTTTTGCAGAAGCAGAGAATATTTTGGGTTGGAAGGGATGGAACAAGACATTTTTCATGGGCAGGGACACTATTCCACCATCCCAGGGTGCTCCCAGCCCCAATGTCCAGCCTGGCATTGGACACTCCAGGGATCCAGGGGCAGCCACAGCTTCTCTGGGCACCCTGTGCCAGGATCTCCCACCCTCMCAGGGAAGAATTTCTTCATGGTATCTCACCTAAACTTAACCTCTTTCAGTTTGAAGCCATTCCCCCTTGACCTTTCACTACACTAAATTATGGCTCGTTCTCACTTCAGGTTTTTAGAAAAACTCCATGAGCTTATCTGTTCTGCAGGATTAGTGTAATTTTTTAGAAGTAATTCCATTGTTCCTGGCATAGCAGGATTTGAAATTACTTGCAGTGAAGATCATCCCAMATTTAACTGCAAATGCTGTTGAGAGGCAAGGGAGAGAAGAAAACCTCTTAGTCAGAAACCCATATCATTGTTATTATTATATTTTCCTAACATTAAACTTTAGGAGCCTAAAGTGGAAAAAGAATTCTTGGTTTGCAGTTGAGCAGAAGAGGGAGCCTTTTGGACCTGGATGCTCTGAAGTGGAGTTCCTGCACACCCAACCAAAATTCTGCATGGTTCCACTGCTGGGTAGGGCTTTTGTCATGTAGCTCTCAGTGTGTTTTAATGCTTTGGTAGGTAAAGACAAAACATTCAGGGTGCTGTAGCAGCCTGAGCTCTGTTACTGGTGAGTTCTGTCTGGCTGTAGCACTGTGAAAGCTGAAAATGTTCCTGACAGCTGTTTGAAAGCTGAGGTTTTGCTGTCYAGATGAGGGCTCTACCTGATTAATGAAGAAATGCATCAAGTAGCAAAGTGTTTGTGGCTCAAGAATGTCTTTCAAAGTATCTGTTGGGACATTTAAGGGAACTGTCTGGAGTCCTGTGTTGTTTTTATGTTCATCTTCAGCTCTGTTGCAATCACGAATCCTTAAAGAAGTGCCAAGATTTCCATCAAAGCATAGAGATGGTAAACAAAAGAAAATCAGGCACTCTCTGAGGGGCAGGACAATATGAGTAATAAAGGGTTGGTGTGAGGTTTTTGCCTTGAGGTCAGAGATGAATGCCTCGTGCAGTATTGTTTGTGAAGGGRTGGATTATTTTTGTAACAATGTGACTCATTTGTCCTTAGGGAATAGTACAGAACTTTATTCTGTTGTGCTGCCCCTTTAGCAGCAGCAAGTTAATGTTCCCTTTGCTCTGCTTCTGCTGATCCATTCTGACTTGTCCAGTTGGGCCAATTTCACTTCAAGCCTTCATCCTACAAAGCACAGAAAAAAAAAATAATTTCTCTAGCAAGGAACTTGGATGCACTTGGGTATGGACAAAGTTTCCCTTTAATTTGAATAGTGCATAAACTATTTTTTTTTGTCTGAACAGCTTGCATTTGCTAATTAAATTTAATAAATTAATTAATTAGCAAATGAAATTTAATTTGCTGATTAAATGAAGGTGCTACATAGAGACACCTTCACATATTGGTTGTCTGGATGTCCTTGGTGACATTATTATTATTACACATATTTTTGTCCTGCTTCATGTAGAGGATTGCCATAATTACCATCAAATAGATACAGGGGCATAAAGATCAATCTGTATTTTATTATTCATGAATCATAGGCTGAAATTTTGACCAAACCTTGAATAAACATAAATGGAAACTCTGTTGGCTTCTGACAATGTAAATATTCCTGKAAAGTGATGATTTCATTGCAACATCTGCCAAAAGCAAGAGCAGAACTTGGGCATTTTGGTGTTGAAGATTCTGGGGGAATGGTTATTGTTGAGAAGTTCATAGTGTTTTTAAATTAAGAATTGCTCTARAAATTAAATTAATCACTTTGATTTATAGTGGAGAGGGAAGACAGAAGAGAGTAAGGTGACAAGATGTCATTTTAACATTCTGAATTAAAACAAATTGGCTCTGTATGTATTTCCAAGCAGTCAGTACCAACTTGTAGGCTTCATGGCTTCCTTTTGACTCTGAATGTTGGTGGATATTTTTGAACCCTCCTTGGTGTCAAACCTGATCATCAAAGTGGTGCAGCCCAGGACTCTTTCCCTTTTTAAAGAAAAGCTTGGCACRCCAGTGTCAGACAACCATTTCCAGACCTTTTACAGCACTCAGCTAAGTGTTGAAACTGCATCTGGAGCATTGCTATTAATTATACCTGTTGAAGGTGTAAAATACTCATTTTCCCAAACCAAAATCTAAAAATAAGGTAATTCACCTTTATATGGAAGAGTTCTCAAGAGGTTTTTGCAGCTCCTTTCCTGGTCCAGTGGGCTGAGTAGTAGTTATCATACCTGTGGTAACTATTTCAAACAGGAATTAAGTTTGTTATTCACCAAAGGGTTTTGTGCTGTTGCTCTTTCTTTTCCCCACCTTGGTTTCAAATGCTTCTCTTAGGYGTGGGTTGTTAAAATTCTCATAGCTTGAGAAGCATTTTGAGATGTTCAGAGATTTTTTTTGTTGTTCCCTGTATCATACTCAGTTATTTGAAGAGCACCATATCAGCTAGAAACATTTCTCGCTGGTTTACTAGGTGGTGAAGAACTGAATTTGTCTGGAATGCACAGTATTGTAAAAACTTACTAAAATAACACCTTCAGATGGGGTTAATTTAATATTTTTTAAAAGAGGTTTAGAAGACSTAATGAGCCCTCTATTGAAAGAAGGGGTTATCTGTGATTCCTTGAGTTTTCCAACAGTATTGATTGCTGGAAGAAGAATCCCCAAATGTGGAAGAATATTAACCTTTCTGAAAGCTTTTTCTCTGGCTCAGATCTAAGCAGCCTCTGGGAAAAAAACCCACCTTTTCCTAATATCAAACCTAAATCTCCCGACACAGCTCCATCCATTAATTAGCTGTTTAATAAAACTCCTATTGAAGGATGTGATGCCATATCAGAGCACCTACTCTTCAGACAGAGACCAAGAATTTGATTTTATTTGGGATTTTTTCCATTTCTCCTTCATAGCTTCAGGAGGAGAGAGAAAGTGTAGTGACAGCCATCTGCAGATTTGAATTTCTGCCATTGGGTGATGCTGTTTGTTCTAAATTGTAGCTCTGCATGATTCTTKCTCTTCATCCTGGCAATTCTTGAGCCAGGTTTGGTCATCCTGTGCCCAAAAGAACCAAATGAATGGTTTCATTTTTAAAGAGGCAGGGAATGAGATTGCACAGATCAGTGTAGGCAAAGGTTCTGCCCATTCAGCTCTTATTTGGAGAACTCCATTCAGTTATCTTTTCTGCTTGAAATGTGATCTCTTCAAAGAGCCTCAGTGTTATTAAAGGGTTGCAATAAAATAAAAATAAGTGGTGATCACTTTTGCATGCTTTTATCAACTAATCTAATCTGCCTGCTATCCTCAGCTAGTGATTGGAAACCTACTTAGTTYTTTTATGGAAACAGTGGTAAAAACAGGTGAAGAGAGAAGAATTTGTGAGCTTTAAGGAGATTTTAGAAAAATATCTTCAGTTCTAGCATTGTKTAAGGATTTCATAAATAGTGAGGATCTTCTGCCTGTGTTTTGAGAGAACAGATTTAATACTCCTTTTACACTCTATCAATAAYTTCAGTTTGCTAATTCACATTAACTGTGCTGTTTGAAAAAACTTCTGTTCTTTAACCAAAAAAGTGCAGTATTTCCATCAAGAAGGGCAAAGAATTGCCTCATTCATGAGCATGTAAATGTTTAAAACTCCAATTCTCTAAGTTGTCACCTCATAATTGCAGTCAATCAGATTTGTTCAGATTGGTAGTTGTGATACACAGRTAAAGAATGGTTTTGACTAAACTCATTCTTAGCAAGAAAAAGCAGGATTAAAGTTCAGTATAATTATTAATGGGGAGTCATTCTGGTGGTTGTGCTCTGTGGTCGAAAAGTGTTGATCTGAGGATTTAGATTTTGGCCTAGCAATTACTGTTCTAAAATG